ATACAATGTAAAAAGTAGCAAAAATAAATAAAAAACATTACATGAGAAGGTGGACACACTTTCTCATGCGATGTTTTTTAAATACATTAATGTAATGTAAATACATTACATGTTAAAGAAGTGGTGGTTAAAATGGTGGTTAAAGAAGTTTGACGTGTTTGAGTGGTGGTGGGGACCAGTTTGTGGCATAATTTGCATAGTACAGTTTTCTGGGCCGTGTCAGACTTTTCATAACCAAACCATGATGTCCATGCTACAGAGGTAGCCCCTCGTTTAACAATAAGGTACTCGACTTGCTTTGACTGGTCCTTCTGCTTGGAGCTAGCTGGTTCTGCCTCATCCTTGCTGGCCATGCTGGTATTCTCTGTGCCTTCATCTGCATGGTGACTGTAAGCGCCATTTTATAGTTACTTGATGTTTTTATTTGAGGTCATTTGTTTGCTGCATATTCTGAAATTATATGTTTGAGAAAAATATATATCATTTCAGTTTATTTTGAAAAGTCTCAACAGAAACTTGAGCTTTATTGTGAAAGGTTTATGTGGAAAATAAACAAGCGGACGGCGGAGCCATAGAATGGTTTTACCGTCATTGTTGGTAACGAAAGTACGCGTAAAAACAGTCGCTTGTCTGTCCATAGTATGGTTATTGTAAGTATAAGAGAAGGAGAGAACTTTAAGAAATAAAATAGCAACTACAGTGACCATCAAAACCATGAAAAAAATATTGCCGTAAACAGTTTATTTTGCAACACCACAAAACAAACAATAGCGTATACAGGGTTCGTAGGATGCTTGAAATTAGGGCTGGGCGATATGGCCTAAAATTCATATCGCATATAATTTGAAGCATGTGCGGTAACGATATATATCACGATATATTCTTTTCTTCTGTATAACGTATTTTCCACACTAAGGCACACTTAAAATCCTTTAATTTTCTCAAAAACCGAGAGTGTGCCTTATGTATGAATTCTGGTTGTGCTTACTGACCTCAAACCGATTTGCAGAAATCTGTTAAAAAATGTTTTAGTACAACTTTGGTAAGCTGCACTGCTTGATGGATTGTCAGAGAATTACGGCTGCTGTTGTAGTAATCTGGGTCATCCAACTGTTGTCTTTGTCCACAAAGTAATTATCGCTCTTATTTTGAAGAAAGACTGGGTTTGTGCTGCTTGAATATCATCTTTAGTTTGGGGTTTAAGTGGATCAGAAAGTGTGGAACAACCTTTAAGACTTCAGTGAGAGAATTTGTTTTTAAAGCACAAAAAAACAACATATGTTCAAGTTACATCAACCCAACAAAACGCTCCTCTGGCATTAACATCAGCACAAAAACTGTTTGCTGCGAACTTCATGTCTCCAGTAGGTGTAAAGTGCAGGTGGCTCATTTTAGTCCACTAGTAATCTTAGCTGTAAGGGAAAACCGTTTGTGTGGAGAACAAAAGAGTGATATCCTTTATTCTATTGGTATGATATGAAGTATAAAGTGACCGCTCAATATCACCAGAAGCCCCCAAGATACTGACCATTTCCAGATTTGCAAACTGCAAATCCAAACAATGCAAAATTGTTCATTATCACAAAATATACAAAGTGTAAAGTACAAAAACTACGCAGTACAAATCTGTGAAGCAGAACTGTCAGCTTGCACACTTTTCAAGTGGGGTGGCTGTAGCTCAGGTGGCAGAGCAGGTCAGCCACTAATCAGAAGGTTGGTGGTTCGATCCCAGGCTGCCTCCTGGCTGCATGCCAAATATCCTTGGGCAAGATACTAACCCCGTGTTTGCCTACTGGTGGTGGTCAGAGGGCCCGGTGGCGCCTGTGTCCGGCAGCCTCGCCTCTGTCAGTGCGCCCCAGGGCAGCTGTGGCTACAATGTAGCTTGCTATCACCAGTGTGTGAATGGGTGAATGACTGAATGTAGTGTAAAGCGCTTTGGGGTCCTATGGACTAGAAAAGCGCTATACAAATGCAGGCCATTTACCATTTTTCCTCAGTTCAAAACCGCTACTGTTTAATACTGTATGAACTGCATAAAGGTGTTTGATAGTCCCAGCCAGCATGAAAAGCATTTGCATCTCTTTAGGTTTGAACCTGGTGGCTTTCCTGGTGATTGTATTCTCCTACTCCAGTATGTTCTGCTCCATCTTTAAAACCGGCATCAATGCCACGGACCTGAGGAGCAGACTGCACAGGGATGTAGCTGTGGCCAGCAGGTTTTTCTTCATAGTGTTCTCTGATGCCCTCTGCTGGATTCCTATATTTTTGGTGAAAGTCCTCCCGCTGCTAGAGGTGGAGATACCTGGTAAGAAGTGAAACAGCTGCCTTATAGTATCTTAGAGGTTTTACGTGGATTTTTAATACAGGTCACTGTGTTACTTTATAGAATAGTTTGCTGAAAAGCATCAACGCAGTTATATTTCTCTAAATGTCAATCGCTTGTGAAATGTTTCCTTCCTCACGATACTATCTCCAGCTGGGTTGTCATCTTCATCCTCCCCATCAACAGTGCCTTCAACCCCATCCTGTACACCTTGACCACCAGAGAGCAGGTGGAAGTTTTACTCTGTCACTGGCAGCGGAGACATACATTAAAGAAAGACGGCAAAAGCCTTACTTCGTCCAGATCTTTATGGAGACGTCACAGGGTCTGTGCTACCAGCCACCCGTTTACCTCCAGCCGGTGTCACTTATAAGCACAGAACCTCACTATGCCTGATGATGTATTTGTAGAGATACAGAATTTTGTAAGCTACTTTTTATTGTTTTACTCCATCTTTAAGAACAAAGTGTGCTTCGCAAGACTTCAGACTTTTGCTTGGAAATAATTAGCAGTCACTGTGCCGTCTCATCGCGCTCTGACATTTATAAAATGTGATGACAACCCCGGAAACAAACACCAACCACCCTAAGCAGATGACTGTCTCATCATGCCGTTCAAGCTACATGTTGACTTTATATTTGCAATGAAATTTGAAATGAAACAATTTCCATTTATTCACTGACGTTCCTCATTCTTCATAAGGTGATACAGGTACATCCTGGGGAGTCATGTAGAGGCAGACATCCACCAATGTTCACATTCACACTCACATCCAGGGTAGAATCACCAAATATCCTAAAATGAATATATTTGGACCCAAATAGTGGTTTTAGAGATTTTTTTCTACTGATAAAGACCTGCAGACAGCAGCATTTCTTTATCATGTAGAAAGAGATGCACAATTTAAATTGCACTTCTTAGTAATCTGTTAAGATATAGGAGGGAATAAATGTGCAGTTAACTTCTTTAAACCGATAGAAAAGGGAGTTTCAGTTAAGATGAAAGTGAGCTATATGTGGCCCATGATGTAAAATGTGTTTGACATCCCTGCCTTAAAAGTCTATCAAGAAAGGTGTTTAGATGACTCTAGTAAAATGCACACATAGATCCTATCCCGTCACTGTGGTGAACCTTTTATGAAGTTTAGAAGCTGTGGGACAAACACAAAGGGACTGGCAAATACCAGTGACACAATATTAATGAATCACATATTTTTATATACAGATAAGCTTCCCAATTAATCTCTCCCCACCTACTTGTCTTTTTGCCCTTTAATTCCTCCATCCCCATCACTTTTTGGGTGTTTTTCAGCTTGTTTAACTTTCCTCATTATTCTTGCTTTCATGTCATATTCTTCCATTTACATGTACTGTATCTGCTTTGACTGGACTAATGTTGAAACTGAACCAATATGCTGCAGACTCTATGTGCTATAGTCATGCTGTTTAAGAGAACTGCTCTGAACTCCTCATTTGACTGACTGCAACTGGATGAAAGCATTTTGTACACGCATGTCATGTTGCATGTAATTAACTAACTGACAAATGAGGAGACTGAATTGTGACACTCTGAACATCTGCGCACGAGACGTTGGAGCTGGACTTTTGCAGCTTACTTTCATGTTGTGATGACTCTGATTTTTTCTATACCAGTGCACCAATGTACCTTTAAACAGCTGCTTTAACTTAGTGACAATCATTAAAGGTGGAGGAGTTTACACACTGAGGACATGAAAAAGGAAAGCTGCACAGATAAATAAAATTGGTTATTTAATGCTTGCGTACATTTCTCATTAATATGCCAAGCAATGGAATCCCAACAAGGCCCATTTTTCCTGTTATGCTGTTTTGATGTGCATATGTTTACGTTTAGTGTATAAAATTCGGTACGGATCCTCTCGGTGTGAGTTGTGTTTTTGATTGTGTTTGTTGGTGTCAGGCCCTATATTGGTTTCCCAAAAGTTTTTTCTTTTAACTGAAATAACAACAATAAAAAGACATGAACGAATATGAAGCACAATCAAATAACTTTGGCTGTTTTGTATTTTTTGGTCATTCTTTAAGGCTTTCTGTAACGTGAAGGGAAGAAAGCGCAAGCAAAAATAACCAGTGGTGTAATGAATTAATGTGTTAATTATCAGGTTAGCTATATAGGTATAGCTATAGGTATAGGGTTAGGGTAATCCCATAGTATAGGATTAGGTACTCTATAGGTAATACTCTATAGGTAACTCTATAGGTAATCCCATAGTTGATTGCAGAGCTAATATATTTGCTAATATGATAGCAAATCCATGAGCTAACAGGAAAAGCTTCTTCAGCTCTAAGACCCCAACTGTCTGCCATCTATAATCCAGTTTTGAGATCCCTTCCCAGACGCCTTAACGCCCACTCACATCCTGGGCCATTTAACCACAGTAAATCACATGATAGGGGTGGGGCTAGGTCTCACAATGGGTTCATCTGAGACCTTGGCTGATTGTGACCCACACCCGCTTTCACACTTTAGCTCTTGTGATTAGGAAGAGGATCAACAGAGGGTCCATGACCCTCTTGGGGACACTCCCATAGGGCTTAAAATCTGGGACTCTCCACCAATTGCTCTTAGAACTAAAGCTTCTCAGATGAGAGGTGAAACATCTTCAAGAAAATTAAAGAAGTCCAGATGCTTTTTTCTTTCTGAGCTCCATCGACTATGATGACCTGGATGACTGAAAAAATTAACAGACACACCACAGGAGTAACAACCCTAAATATAACAAATACTGAAAAGGTATTAGAAATGAAACAGGCTACACTGAAAAAAATGAATGGTTAGATTGGATATTTTGGACCGCCTACCAAGCAAATGTCTCATGCACAACCGTTAGACCAACCCTAGTCACATCACAATTTCAACTCGCATCAGAAAATAGTTCAGCCATCCTGGCATGCATGCCGAAGATGTTCAAGTTGTTCGCTGCCCCCGAATGAAACCTGCAAACTGCTGCACTCTTTACCCACCTGTAAAACCACAAACCTCTCCAAATGTTGATTACTACCCAGGAAATTACACCTGTTTTTATAGGAATGAATTGAATTGAATAGTGTACTTATATAAGAAGAATGGGTTTATTTTACAGGATAATAATTTTGGTCATGTGTCATGTGATGGGCCAATGGTATGACTCCCTTTAATGGGTTCCATTTATTTCCCCACAGCATGAAATAGCAGAGAGGCCAGTAAGAAATCACATTTGTTTTGGCATATACAGCCTTTTTCCATCAAGGTTATTGAGGAACCAGCTGAGCTGACCCAGACTTTCAAATCAAAGTCAGGGTTTTCAATCAAACCTGTAGTGTTGGAATAATAATTCCCTCTATTTACATTTTCTTACAATGATAATCATGGTTATGTGTACAAATGCAATAAAGTGATGCAAAAAAGTGTTGGGTTTAAGAAAGCTGTTACACATTCAAAATCAATCATATTTTAGCGCTGAGATATCTAAACATCACATGCTAAAAGCAAGCGAAAACATCCCATTGAACATGGACCCTGAAGCAGCAGGGTGGGTAACAAGTTACTTTTTAAAATAAAACTGTGTATAACAGCTAGAATAGCCATGTATCTAGCTCAGAAAAGATGTAAATGACAACAGGGGCCACAGAGTAATGAAAGCGACTGCTATGCATGCATATGTGTATAACTGATGGTATTTATGAAGTAGAATAATTACAAATGAATCATTACAATTTGAAATTAAATGCAATGTAATCACCTTTTCCTACATGCTGTATTTAATCACCATAAAGAAAATATCCTATAATTAGTGGTAAATTACTGAAAATCATAGTATTCAAAACACTCAAAACTTCATGTGTTATGTACAAAAAATAACAAACAAAAAAGCAAACAGAAAAGCAAAATGTTTTTTAAATGGCACTTTGGTTTACTTGTGTACTGATACAACACTGACTGCATTTGCTACGATTACTAGGGATAGGAATGCTGAGAATTTAGTGATCCCTGTTTCATTATCGATAACACTTATCGATTCAATTCCTTATCAGTTCAATAAGTTCAAAACTTATCAATATGTTTTCATCAGCTCTGCTTTGACAGTCACCACCATCGCTAGCATATAAAAATATATCACATCTCACATGTGCACTATTGACCACACAGTGTGTGCATGTTGCAAATGTTTGTGCATGTTGGAGATATTTCTGCTCGTTTTTGTGATCAGTTTTGGGATCCATCCACTCTCTTCCGCTTATTCTCGCTGGAGCCTTTCCCAGCTCAGTTTTACAAAAAGTAATTATTACACATATTACACAGAACATTTTTCACACTTTAAAAAAAAATGCTGTACGTTACTTAATTACTCCCAGGAGAGAGTAATTCATTGTACCACTCATTACATTACTTTCTCTGTAAAATAGCTGAAACACACTCTCTCATAATTACCATTTAACAAGATAAACCTGCTACTACAACTCAACACAGCAACACAAATACATGTTCTAATGAGGACAAACATATGATCTTTCTCTTAGTATTTAGGTATGAATACAAAGCAAAGATGAAAACCGGCAGGAAGAGACTTTAAAGTAATGACCAGAGTGATTCAAACATGAACAGGTAGAAATGGAGACTGCAACCTGAATGCTCATTTGTATGTTACTGTTGATGTTAAGGGTCTTGGTGCTGGGCCGGCATTCACTCAGTTTTTACTCTTGGTTCTTGGCTAGCTTAGCATTAGCATGCTGTCTGTGCAGGTCTTTTTGTGCAGGCTGAAGTTGTGTTAGCAGCATAGTGTGGTTGTTTTTGTCTTGATATAGTTTAAAGTTTACCATCACACTCTCGTCCTTTTGTGCAATAAAAATAAATGTCCACATCCATGCTGTAGATTGTGCTGCTATTTTCCTTGTCTGACACACAAACTGAAATCAGCTGAGTGTAGTGCAAGTGCAACTGGAACCGGTAAGTGAGATCGATGGGCAGGCAGACTAACAATTCTAATGAATTGGACTACTGGAGCAGGTTCTCTACAAGAACCAGTTTTCTATATAAAAACATCAAATACATTTTCAGCTGCTATAATCTTCAACATTTCATCTTCTAAAAACAATCATGTAACCTTTCAGAAAGTTGCTTAAACTCAATCAAATAACCCATATACAATTCTATTGCAATAAAATAAAAGAATTGATGGGTATCCCATGTCATATGTAATGGTAAATGGACTGATTCTTATAGAGTGCTTTTCTACTCTCCCAGAGAACTCAAAGCACTTTATACAACATGCTACAATCACCTTCTTCTATACTTATACTGCTTCCTAACCACATTCAGACACATTCAGACTCCGACGGACTGGAGGAGCCAGGATCGAACCACTAACCGTCCGATCAGCAGGTGACCTGCTCTACCTCCTGAGCTACAGCTCAGCTACTTCAGTAAGCTTGAAACAAAGTGCTCACATTTTTCAGCAGCGTACCCTGGAATTGTTTGGGATTGTGAACATCAGATTTTGAAAGTTATGGGAAGGCCTATGTTACAGCGACAGCTGCAAAAAAGCCTGAAAACCAACCTCCAATATAGGGTGAAATGCAATGCTAAAAAAAATAAATAAAGGAACACTTGAGAATATAGCATCACATCATTTACACTTATGGCATATTGATCCAGTTACTCAAGTAGCAGAGGGAGTTGTTAATCAGTTTCAGGTGCACTAGAAAGACAACATTGAAACCTCAAAACAGGAATGGTTTTACAGGTGGAGGTCAGATCTTTTTTCCCCTTTTCAACTTTTGACTGTTTTTTCACTAGTTTTGCATTTGGCTGGGGTTAGTGTCATTACTGGTCGCATGAGGTGATATTTGAACCCTACAGAGTTTGTACAGGTAGACCAACTCCAACAGATGAGAGCAGGTTCACCCTGAGTAGATGTGAACATTATGCTGCTGCTTGTAACACTGTTTAACATCACCAATTTGGGGGGGGGTGTCACTGACTGTCTTAAGGAGTCATTTCCGTGGAGGGATGCGCAGACCTCTGCAGGCTAGGCAACAGTACCATGACTGCCATTGGGTATTAAGGTGAAATCATGGGATCAATTGTCCAACCCTGCACTGTTGCATTTTGGTGGAGTATGCAGGCAGTTTGTGGAGGATGGAGGAATTGATACCAGTGACTAGCCCCCATGCTTGCTTGATGTACGTCCATTATAAAACCTTTTGGACAATATGTGTCAGTCCTTTCAGTGCTACCAAGTTGCAGGAGGACACCATCTGCTGTCTCATTAGGAGCATGCCTCCCCATTGTCTGGCATGCATACACGCATGCAGGTACCATACAAACTGCAAAAGTGGTGCTGAAGGTTCTACAATGCTTTTTTTAATTGGCAAGTCAAAGGCCAATTAAATTCTTGTTGGTCATCATAATTGCCTACAACAGATAGTTTCTCTTTGATAGCACAAAAAGGATTTGTACTCATTGGGCAATAAAATACTGAGACAAATGGAAAACCAATAAACGTAGTGAAAATCTAAGGAGGAGAAATGTAGATTTACACAAGTTGGAAAGATCTTTGGAGTCATTTCTAAATAACTGCAGGTTTCAAGATTATTGCTTCAAAAAAAAAAAAAAGGTAAATTCAAATCATTTCGATGTGTAACCACCAAAGACCCAAGTTGTCACCCTCAGAGGAAATGAAATTGGTTAGAATGTTCATGAAGAACTCAGGAGCCACCAAACACAAACCTGCCATGAACTGGAAACAGCTGGAATATTAGTGTCACTATCCACAGTGAAGTGTATTTTCATCACCGCTTATCTAGTGCTATCTAAGGTTGTGGAGGTAGCAGCCCAAGCAAGGATGCCCCGTCTTCTCAGCCGACTCCTTCAGCCAACATGGGGGCCGCCACCAGGGTCTGTCAGTCCACCCCAGATCTCGATGCAACATTGAAGAGGCAAGTCAACCAGGACAACCCTACGATACCCAGGGCCTTTAGGAACTCACTGCAAACTTCATCGATTCCTGGCAGTTTGGCCACTAAGGAAGGTATCTTACCACCCAACTATGTCACGTAACCTGTTGAAGTCAACAACAACCCACCCACACTATACCACTTTCTCCAACTGGTGGTTTCCCAAAAATGCAGACGGAAAGTCTGTTTCTGTGCCCTCACCAAACTGCTCCCACTCGTGAGTTTTTGCTTCAGCTATCGCCCTCACCACATTCCACTGGGTATGTCAGCAAGACAATGATTCCAAAGAAAATCTCTTCAAAACTCCATCAAAGCTTCTGGAATGATCTTTTCAAAGCCTCAAACTCAACCCTATTGAAAACAATGGACTACACATAAAGGTCAGTTCTGTACCAGGAAACCAACCAATTTAAATGGTCAAGGTGATACTTGGTAAGGAGGTTTATATATTTGATCCTGTATGCATAATTTTGACCTTGTGTGAATCTGAGAAAAACCCAAATAAATACAAACTTGTGAACCAACGTCTTGTTTTTAAAGTCATTAAAGATTTATGCTGTATGATAATTTTACCCTTGAAAAAGGACAGCTCAAAGAAATAATAAAAAGACCATAATTACAATGACCACAATTGTATATATCTGACTTGTAGTCATAATCCATAGTTATAATAATACTGTAAAATAACACATAAGGACTAGCATTTTATGGGTACATAGTGTGCCAGTTTGTAGAAGACACAGTGCTGAAGCTACAGCCTTGTTGTAAGGCCTAATCTTGGTTCAGAGTTTCTGTGTGATTATTCACTGTCCAGCTTCTTGAGCTCTGAGGAAGGACTCTCTCTGGATGGCAGGATATCGTAGTGGCAGGGGATGTGGCTGTTTCTTGGTAAATCATATGGATCCTGCCCGAACTTCACAAGGCCACTGCCATCTCTTGTGGACTGGATGGTGCTTATCGTTGAATCTGTAATCAAAGAGATATCAGTTGGCATAGTATAAGGTACAAAACTGTTGATATAAAGAACCAGAACACTATTTTAAGATGCTTACTTTTAATCATGTACCTCTATTTTTATTTGATTGAACATTTATACAAATAGAAATAAAATGTCAGAAACAGTGAGAAAGTCTAAATCAGAGAGGAACTGTGGCAATTTGTCTATTCAGTTCTTCTATTTTTTGGGACAATATTCACGTATTTCTTACCTCCACAGGCTCTTGACACAGTGTAAATGAAAATGTCAGCCTTGAAAGTATTTTGAAAAACTTAATACAAATCAAAGCATTTGCTTTTATAGTGTATGTATGCGTAGTATGGTGAGACTAGAGCCATGTTACAAAAATCAAGAGGTTCATGACCAGCCCATGTGGCCACTCACAGCTGGTTGCCATCATATAAGTGACTCTGCTGTTTGCCATGTTTTCCATGTGCCAGGTTTGCTATGCTTATTCTACTGTAGAAACATGAAAAGCTATGGAGGCTACAAATCTGACTGCTCATAACTGCCTGTCAAAATTTAGGGTCTGGCAACTGGGCTGGGTTCCCCCGGCTTTATCATCACTCTGGGTTCTTGGCTAGCTTTGTATTAACAATCACTTTTTTGTTATTAGCAAAAAAAAGCTGATCGTAGCAAAAAACAAAAAAACAAC